GATCGTCTCACGAATTTTTGTCTGTGAAACCGGTCAAGTTAAAATAAAAATGTAATACTTATACTGAAAAATATAATACTTACTACTGGAAATTATGAAATTTCTGACCACATAAAAGTGATCTTAAATCAAGTTAAAAGCCTTGTTCCGACCACTTTTGATATTCGGAAAAACATTTGTTGCTATTTCCGACCACTTTTTGGTATCAACTTGATTTAAGATCACTTTCAGGTGGTCGGAAATTCCATAATTTCCACTAGTGACTAATCATGAATGAAGTAGTATCTCATAAGGAAAAGTGTAATACTTTAAAAAAAGTGTAATACGTATTTTTACATTTTGATTTAAAAGTATCGCATTTTTCTTCGAAAATATTAAACTTTCCTTTATTTCTGATCAGTATTACATTTTTCAGTATAAGTATTACATTTTCATAGTGACATGTCTCGTCTCACGGATAAAGATCCATGAGATGTCTCATATGGGAGTCATTCAAATAAGAAAGGGAAAGAAAAAGTAGTTAGGCTAACCACCTTGACATGCCCCGCAAGGTGCGTGCTCACTGGGCAGTAGGCACTGGTAGTGTATGCATGAGACGCGCACTAGCTAGTAGTAGTAGTAGTTGTTGTTGTTGTTGTTGTTGCTGTTGTTGCTGTTGTTACCGTTGTTGTTGTTGTTGTTGTTCGGGAAAAATGGTCAAATGCACCCATAAACATTATAGGAAATTTCAATTTGACCCTAAAACTTTAAAAAAAGTTCAACCAAACACATAAACTTATCATTTTGATGCATTTGGATCCAATAGCCAGTCACCTACTGGTAATACCCAGTAATAAACATCACATGGTTAAATTGCCCGTCGGCGACCATTTTCCGGTCACCATGTTCCTCAGTCGAAGAAGGCAACCAACATCACCTTCTTCAATTATGGAAGAAGGCGACCAAGAAGAGGAGGCGACTAAGCGTCACCTCTTCCTCCACGAAGAAGGCGACCAGTCGCCTTCTTTTTGGAGAAGGAGGCCGTTGGACGCTAACGGTCGTTTTGGTTTTCGGTGTCCTTTTATTTTGAAAAGCTATTTGGGGTAGCGTTTCAAAATAAGCTATTATTTTAAACTTCTCATGCTTAAAATAAGCTATGCTTTACTAAATAGAGCCGTAAATGATTGTCAAAGAAATTAGCTAGTAACCTAGTTGGCTTGGTTTACAACTAGTGTGAAGTGATGTAATTTCACTTGTATTTGTATCACAATAGTGAAATCATCTTTAATATTTAAGGAGAAGAGTGGAGGATGGAGTTTTCGAAACACTATAAAATATCGACTCACTCTCTCTTCCTAGTCTTTTTATTTATTTGCTAATTGATCCAAATCATTTACTCATGATTCTATTCTTTACATTGAAAAGCAAAACAAGCTACAAACAAATTTGACAAGTTTAAGACTTCCATTGAAATTACTTTTAATTTAACAGCGTGTTTGGTTGATGGAATAGGTAGGAAATGGAATATCATTCCCAAGAATAGACCTATTCCATTGTTTGGTTTGTCTTTTCATGGTTGGGAATAACATTCTCGTGAATGAGCTATTCCCTTTGCAGGGGCTTAGGCATTCCCTGGGAACCCCTGGTATTAGCTATTCCCAAGTATTTGGGAATAGCTTTTGTACTATAATACCGAAAATACCATATATATATATATATATATATATATATATATATATATCGCCACCGCCACCGCCACTAGCACCACCAGCACCACTACCATCGCCGCCGCCGCCACCACTGCCACCGCTACCACCACCACCTCCACCACCACTACCATGGCCACCACCCCCACCACCGCCACCACCATCGCCGCCGCCACCACCACCACCACCACAACATGTTTTTATAAGGGTATTTATGTCTTTTAAAACATATATCATTTCTATTCCTTAAACCAACCAAACACTGTAATATAATTCCTAAATTCTATTCCTTCCGCGAACCAAACAATTGAATACAAATCATATTCTATTCATTGCCTATTCCATTCCTTATGGAATAGCATTCAGACTTTTACATACCCAGGACGAACAACAATTAATTAATTAAATATAAATTTATTTGCATCATTTAATTGTCATTGAAATCCATATTTAATTGTTTATTATACTCGAAATAATATATATTCCATTAATACTAATTAATTTCCTTAAAATAATAAAAAAATCATTTAAAATCTCAAGAAATTAAATTAATAATTCAAAAATATTAAAAATAAAATTACTTAAAATCGCCATTGTTTAAAATATTTTAATAACAAATAATGATGATTAGCACTACTAAAAAAATTTAGTGACAAAAAATTAGTGACGGGTAGAAAACCCCTCATTAAAGAGAAAATGGTCAAATAGACCCCTAAACTTTCTTCAAAAGGGCAATTAGGCGCTTGAACTTTACAAAAGTACAATTACACACTTGAACTTGTCATTTTGAGGCATATAACTCTAGTAGCCGGTTATTCACCTAAAATAACCAGTCATTCAAGATTCCGAAAACATTCCGACGACATTCCGGCGAATAAATATTCCGGCAAGTACAAAAATTAAAAAAAAATCAGATGGTCTAAACCGGAGAAGACAACCGGCCGGTCGTCTTCTCCGGTAGAGAAGGCAACCAGATCTAATCGCCTTCTCCACTAGAGAGGACGACTTGACTGTGACACTCCGAAAATCCTATCCTTTAAATAGGATTAATTAGATAATTAATCCTAAGTCATCCTTGTTGACTTTCTAATCAATTTCCTATATTGATAGTCGGAGGACCTAAATTGACCAACTCCTTGGTCAATAGATTTAAGTAAAAAAGGGGATATTTAGCTTTAATGGTTGTACCTAACTCTTTGGGGTCTTCCTAAGCCTTTCTAGGGAAAGTAAGGGTATAATGGTCGTTTTCCTCTTGCTTGGTCATGAAGCCTTACCCTATCAAACCTAAATTTCATTTCCCCACTTTAGCAAGAAAGCTTTTCTCTCCCTTATCTCTAAGAAAACTTGGCTTCTTCTCCCAGCCAAGAAGAACCTCATCCAACCTTGCTAGGAATCATTCCAAGATTCCACATTTCCATCTCCCAAGCTTAAGGAAGGGTAAGATCTAGGATTAGTTGCTGTTTTTAGTTGGTTTTACCTAGTATCTAAGATTAGTGCTTTCTTTGTGGTTTTGGTTGTGTAAGAAATCTTGGTTGAAGAAGAGCTTTAAGGAGAAACTTAGGAGGGTAGAAAGGAAGAGCTTTTGGTCTTCAAAGGTAACCCATGCTATACAAAACCTTTTTTCTACTTGATATTGATGATTCTTGACTTCTATTGATGATTCTTGGTGTAAATGTGAGTGATTTAATGCATGATCTTGTGATAATGCATGTTTAGAGCTTGTATCTAGGTTACTTGAATGCTATATTTTGACCTATTCTTGGGTTCAAGTCATTTCCTTGTTTCATGTATGATTTGGGGTGTTTTGGACTTGAACTTGGCTTTGTTGATGAAATTCCTTGAAGGGAATAATTGTTGCACAGGTTTTTCCCCGCGGGCGAAACGGCGGGCACTCGTCCACCTGCCGCCCCACCCGCGGGTGGTAGCTTTGTACCCGACGAGCAGGACTGCGGGTAGGTACCCACCCGCGGTTCCACCCGCGGGGTACATGCTTTGTGGTGTAACGGGGTTTGTTTTCCCGTGGTTCCACCCTTTGGTATGTGATGTTTTGACCTCCTTTTGTTGGATTGTTGAGCTTTTGGGTGTCTCCTTAATGTTTCGTATGTCTAGAATGATGTCCTAAGTATCCATGTTAGGATTTGGTGTCTTGAATCGTGCTTATGGTCCAACTTTGTGATTCGTTGGATTTATGTGTGTCTTTGAGATTCGTTGGAATCATTTTGGTTTACCCGTTTGATGTGCATGCTAGTTATGAGTCGTTGATGCTAGTATGTGTTGTTTGTCCATTCGTTTGAGGAATGGTAACTTGTGTTGCCAATCATGTTGATATTGGATTGAAGTCCAATGTTGTTGTCGAGTACCGTTTCATGTCTATCATTTAAACCTCTTGATTGATGTCTATGATGTGATATTGTACATTTGTTGTACCCGTTGTTGATGCTTGATTTGGCTATTGATGATCCTCAATCCTCTTGATGATGACTATGTGTGATTATGAATGAGATTGGTGGTATTGTGACTTGAGCTTTGCTCATGAGATTAGCGGTATGTTACTATGATATTTAATGGTACCCTCGTGTACTGAGAGATCGGCGGTATTGTTTGGCGGCAGATTGGTGGGGGATGACGGTCCCAGGAGGGATAAGGTTGGACTCAGAAGTACAGGGTGGCACTCGGAGGTACAGGTTGGAATTGAGATAAGGCCGGGGTAGCCATAAGGGTGTCACAGGGTATAAGGTTGGAACTTGGAACTTGTAACTTGATATTGTCATTATGTGATTTGTTGTATTCATTGCTTATGAGCATGTCTATCGGGAACTCTACCATGATGATGGTAGGTTGCGTCTATTGTTGAGTATGTTGCTTGTTGTCCTTATTGACTTGTGGATTGTTGTTGATGATTGGTCCTTGTTGAGAGCGTTGTGGTGTGTCCCTTGATGTTCCCCCTCTTGGTTTTAAAATGATATATACCGTATTCCTCTGTCTCAAATTGTTTTGTTATATCTATATATTATGATACTTAACGCATATTGGTGGGTTACCAGCATCTCTCGCTGACGGGTGTTATCCCTATGTTTTTACATGTTATGAGTAGCTTGTGGAGAGTGCGTTAGTGGACCTAGATAATGTATTTCTTATGTTTCCCGTTGTTTAGAGTTATGGGTTGTGTGCCTTGAGCGTTGGGTTAGGAGTGGTGTTTCCGCTCAAGTTAGCCCCAGCAAGGTTGCAGCGCCACCACCGCAGAAGCGAAGACCGGTTGGGAGTATGGTAGTTAAGGGTTCGAAGGGGGAACCATCTCAAGGAATGATTCTCGCAATGAGTGAATCTCGGGTTGGGGACAATGATGTCATGACAGGAACCTTCTTGGTACAGTCAATACCGACATTGGTTCTATTCGACTCGGGGGCATCCAATTCGTTTGTATCTTCGGAGTTAGTCAAGAAGCTGGGATTGACCGATTGTGTAAAGGTGAAGCTGAGTGTGAAAGTAGCTTCGGGAGAAGTTAAGTCGTGCAACCGGCTGTTCAAGAATGTCAAGATTGCCATCAATGGGGATGAATTCCCTAGCAACTTGATTCAGTTTGATTTGGACGGAGTGGACGTGATCTTGCGAATGGATTGGTTGGTACAACACAAGTCTTAGATCCTTTGCGGAGAACAGAAAGTCGTTTTGAGAGAGCCGAGTGGGAAGAGGGTGTCATACCGAGGCACCGCTGTGGAACCCGAAGTGAAGTTAGTGTCCTTGCTTAGAATGAGGAAATATGTGGAGAAAGGACACGAGGTATTCCTTTGTACCGTTGAGAACTTAGAAGTCAAGGAAAGCAAGGCGCAATCTATACCGGTGGTGTGTGAGTTCCTAGATGTTTTTACCGAGGAAATTCTCGGTATGCCTCCGCTAAGGGAAGTAGAATTTTCCGTGGATCTTGTGCCCGGAACAGCACCCATCTCGAAGACCCCATATCGGTTGGCGCTCAAGGAGATGCAGGAACTGAAAGTGCAACTACATGATTTATTGGACAAAGGTTACATTCGACCGAGTACGTCGCCGTGGGGAGCGCCGGTGCTCTTTGTTAAAAAGAAAGATGGAAGTATGAGGTTATGTACAGATTACCGAGAGTTGAATTAGGTAACCGTCAAGAATAAGTACCCTCTTCCGAGAATCGACGACCTTTTCGACCAACTCAAGGGGGCGGGTGTGTTCTCCAAAATCGATCTAAGGTCGGGTTATCACCAGTTGAAGGTAGCTGATAAAGATGTACCTAAGACAGCTTTCAGGACTCGTTACAGGCATTATGAGTTCACAGTAATGCCTTTTGGTCTGACCAATGCCCCGACAGTGTTTTTGGATTTAATGAACCGAGTGTTCAAGCCTCATTTGGATGATTTCGTGATCATGTTCATAGACGATATCCTGGTTTATTCCCGAATCAAAGAGGAACACGAGAGGCATCTTCGGATTGTGTTGCAGACTTTGATGGAGAAACAGCTTTATGCCAAGTTTTCCAAGTGCGAGTTCTGGAAGGATAGTGTAACCTTCTTGGGTTATGTGATAAACAAGGATGGTATCTCAGTAGATCCGGATAAGATCCGAGCAGTAATGGACTGGACAATACCGACTTCAATTGCGGAAGTAAGGAGTTTCCTAGGGTTGGCTGCGTACTACCGAGGATTTGTTTCATATTTTGCTAATGTGGCCCAACCCTTAACCATGCTTTTAAAGAAGGATGTTCACTTTCAGTGGGATCAGGATTGTGATTCAGCATTTTGGGAATTGAAGGATAAATTGACTACTGCACCGGTGTTAACTCTACCGTCGGGTTCAGAAGGATTTGAAGTGTTTAGTGATGCATCAAAGAAGGGTTTGGGGTGTGTTCTAATGCAAAACGGGAGAGTGATCGCGTATGCATCAAGACAGCTTAAAGTACATGAAGAGAATTACCCCACTCATGAGTTGGAGTTGGCGGCGGTGGTCTTTGCTCTAAAGATTTGGAGGCACTACTTGTATGGAGTACAATGCAAGATCTTCACGGATCATAAGAGTCTGAAATATATCTTTACTCAGAAGGACCTGAACATGTGTCAAAGGCGCTGGCTAGAGCTCATTAAGGATTATGATTTGGACATTCAGTATCATGAAGGAAAAGCTAATGTGGTAGCGGACGCTCTAAGTAGAAAGGCTAAGCACTATGTCAACACTACCTGGATAGTGGCCGATGAGCTATATAAGGAATTCCAAAATATGAATTTGGAAGTGGTGGAACAGGGGGAAGTAGAAGCTGAGGTCCGTTTGTTCAACTTGAGGATTGTGCCCACCTTGATAGAAGAGCTAAAGAACGAACAGTTGAAGGATGCCGACCTAGTGAAGGTTAGGAGCAGGTTGGTTGGAGGAAAGAAGGGACCCTTCGAGTTATTCGACGATGGGGGTTTACGATACAAGGGTCAATGGTGTGTACCTGCGGCTTGTGATCGTTTGAAACGACAGATTCTCGAGGGAGGCCACAACACCCCTACTTGGTACACCCTGGGGGTGACAAGTTGTACAAGGATGTGAAAAAACAATATTGGTGGCCTAACATGAAGAAAGAGATAGCGGATTTTGTAAGTAGGTGCTTGAATTGCCAAAAAGTCAAGGCAGAGCGATGCAAGTCCAAAGGATTGGTGCAACCCTTGGAGATACCCCAAGGGAAGTGGGACTCCATTTCCATGGATTTCGTGGGGGGTTTACCTGTGACCCGTTCAGGCAAAGATAAGATTTGGGTGATAGTGGATTGGTTAACCAAGACTGCGCGGTTCATTGCTATGAAGGAAACGTGGTCAATGAATCAGCTAGCTAAGGCATATGTGAGTTAGGTGGTGAAATACCATGGAGTTCCCCGGGACATCGTTCAGACAGAGACTCAAGATTCTTATCTCAATTCTGGAGATCTTTACAAGCTGCTTTGGGAACGAAGTTAAATTTAAGCACCGCTTTCCACCCCGCCAAAGATGGCCAAACCGAAAGGACCATCCAAACTCTTGAGGACATGTTACGGGCTTGTATGTTGTACTTTCAAGGATTGTGGGAAGAGCACTTAGATTTGATTGATTTCTCTTATAACAACAGTTATCACTCAAGCATCCGAATAGCACCGTATGGAGCATTATATGGACAGAAATGCAGAAGTCCGTTATGTTGGGAGAACTTGGTTAATCCGGTGATGTTGGGGCCTCAATATTTGCACGATACTATGGAAAAGATTAAGTATATCCAAGGTAGAATAAAGATGGCTCAGGATAGACAAAAGTCTTATGCAGACTTAGGAAGAAAACCAGCAGAATTTCTAGTTGGAGAAAAGGTTTGGCTGAAAGTTTTTCCCACCCGGGGAGTAATGAGGTTCGGGAAGAAAGGCAAGTTGAGCCCCAGGTTTATCGGCCCTTATAAGATCCTTGAGAGGATAGGAAATCTAGCTTACCGATGGAGTTAGAGCGAGTGCATAATGTGTTTCATGTGTTGCAACTGAAAAAGTATGTGCCCCGACCCTTCGCACGTGATTCCACCAGAAGTGGTGCCCCTTGACGGGACTATGTCTTATGAAGATAGGCCAATCCGAATCTTGGATTCTAAAACAAGAGAAACCCGCAGGAAGTCGGTGAAGATGGTAAAGGTATGGTGGTCTCATCACGGAGTGGAAGAAGCAACCTGGGAGTTGGAATCTGCCATGCGAGAGTGCTACCCCGACCTGTTCAACCCAGGTACCGTGAGTTACCCTTTTGTGTTGGTTGCATAGGTTTAGCTTTGTGGGGAGGGTAGTTAGTTTCTGTTAGTTGTTGTGTTTGCTTGGTGGAAACCTTGTTGCCTAAAAGCCTTGTTTATCTTTCACTTCTAATCTTGTCACACTTTGTTCATCATTATCCTTTTTGACAAACCTTGTTGTACCCAAGCTTGGGGGACGAAGCTTATTGTTAGGAGGAGAGGATGTGACTCCCCGAAAATCTTATCCTTTAAATATGATTAATTAGATAAGTAATCCTAAGTTATTCTTGTTGACTTTCTAATCAATTTCTTAAATTGATAGTTGAAGACCTAAATTAACCAAGTCTTTGGTCAATTGATTTAAGTAAAAAAGGGGACCTTCAGCTTTAATGGTTGTACCTAACTCTTTGGGGTCTTCCTAAGCCTTTCTAGGGAAAGTAAGGGTATAATGGTCTTTTTCCTCTTGCTTGGTCATGAAGCCTTACCCTATCAAACCTAAATTTCATTTCCCCACTTTGGCAAGAAAGCTTTTCTCTCCCTTCTCTCTAAGAAAACTTGGCTTCTTCTCCAAGCCAAGAAGAACCTCATCCAACCTTGCTAGGAATCATTCCAAGATTCGACCATTCCATCTCCCAAGCTTAAGGAAGGGTAAGATCGAGGATTAGTTGGTGTTTTTAGTTGGTTTTACCTAGTCTTTATCTAAGATTAGTGCTTTCTTTGTGGTTTTGGTTGTGTAAGAAGTCTTGGTTGAAGAGGAGCTTCAAGGAGAAACTTAGGAGGGTAGAAAGGAAGAGCTTTTGGTCTACAAAGGTAACCCATGCTATAAAACACCTATTTTCTATTTGCTATTGATGATTCTTGACTTCTATTGATGATTCTTGGTGTAAATGTGAGTAATTTGATGCATGATCTTGTGATAATGCATGTTTAGAGCTTGTATCTAGGTTTCTTGAATGCTATCTTTTGACCTATTCTTGGGTTCAAGTCATTTCCTTGTTGCATGTGAGATTTGGGGTGTTTTGGACTTGAACTTGGCTTTGTTGATGAAATTCCCCGAAGGGAATAATTGTTACACAGGTTGTTCCCCGCGGGCGGAACGGCGGGCACTTGTCCACCTGCCGCCCCACCCGCAGGTGGTAGCTTTGTACCCGGCGGGCAGGACCGCGGGTAGGTATCCACCCGCGGTTCCACCCGCAGGGTACATGCTTTGTGGTGTAACGGGGTTTGTTTTCCCGTGGTTCCACCCTTTGGTATGTGATGTTTTGGCCTCCTTTTGTTGGATTGTTGAGCTTTTAGGTGTCTCCTTGATGTTTCGTATGTCTAGAACGATATCCTAAGTACCCATGTTAGGATTTGGTGTCTTGAATTGTGCTTATGGTCCAATTTTGTGATTCGTTGGATTTATGTGTGTCTTTGAGATTCGTTGGAATCATTTTGGTTTACCTGTTTGATGTGTATGCTAGTTATGATGTCGTTGATGCTAGTATGTGTTGTTTGTCCATTCCTTTGAGGATTGGTAACTTGTGTTACCAATCATGTTGATATTGGATTGAAGTACATTGTTGTTGTCGAGTATCGTTTCATGTATATCATTGAAACCTCTTGATTGATGTCTATGATGTGATCTTGTACATTTGTTGTACCCGTTGTTGATGCTTGATTTGGCTATTGATGAGCCTCAATCCTCTTGATGATGACTATGTGTGATTATGAATTAGATTGGTGGTATTGTGACTTGAGCGTTGCTCATGAAATCGGCGGTATGTGACTATGATATTTAATGGTACCCTCGTGTACTGAGAGATCGGCGGTATTGTTTGGCGGCAGATTGGTGGGGGACGACTGTCACAGGAGGGATAAGGATGGACTCAGAAGTACAGGGTGGCACTCGGAGGTACAGGTTGGAATTG